TAAAACTCTGTAGAAAGAGCTTTTGATTGTATTGAAATGGCAAACGCGGAACGTGTATTAACGCGCGTCCAGAGCCAGCGAGAGCGTTTGGATGAAACTCTCGTTGCTCAGAGAAACCAAGTTCTTGCATTGCTCTCAAGGTACATACAACATACACACTTGAAACTAAAACTTGTTTTGAAAGATTATTACATAGAAACCATCCTTACTTGATACTCTGTTTCTTTCTTTTTGTTTTAGGGTTGAAGCCAAAGGGAAAGGCATTCTGCAACACCACGAGATCATTGCTGAATTCGAGGCATTGCCTCTTGAAACCCAGAAGAAGCTCGAAGGTGGAGCTTTCTTTGAGCTCCTCCGATCCACTCAGGAAGCAATTGTGTTGCCTCCATGGGTTGCTTTAGCTGTGAGGCCAAGACCTGGAGTCTGGGAGCACATACGAGTAAACCTCCATGCTCTTCTTGTTGAGGACCTTGAAGCTTCTGAGTATCTTCACTTCAAGGAAGAACTCGTCGATGGAAGGTACGTACGTTCACTTTTTCTTCACCTCTCAAAATTTCTTCTCTCTTACTCAACCCGTGTCACGCAGTAAGAATGGTAACTTCACTCTCGAGCTTGACTTTGAGCCATTCAACGCCGCATTCCCTCGTCCTACGCTTTCCAAATACATTGGAGATGGTGTAGAATTCCTCAACCGCCATCTCTCGGCTAAGCTCTTTCATGACAAGGAGAGCTTGCATCCTCTGCTCAAGTTCCTCCGCCTCCATAGCCATGAGGGCAAGGTCTGATCCCCAAGCCGCTCTCCTCTCCATTTCTTGTCTGAATAAAAAAGTTTAATCGCCCTGTCTTTGCATCTCTGTAGACTCTGATGCTTAACGACAGGATCCAGAACCTAAACACACTGCAACACAATCTTAGGAAAGCAGAGGAGTACCTGATGGAGCTGAAACCTGAGACACTGTACTCGGAGTTCGAGCACAAGTTCCAAGAGATTGGTCTGGAGAGAGGTTGGGGAGACACCGCGGAGCGTGTACTGGAGATGATCCGCCTTCTCCTTGACCTTCTCGAGGCGCCTGATCCTTGCACTCTCGAGACTTTCCTTGGAAGGATCCCAATGGTTTTCAACGTCGTGATCCTCTCTCCGCATGGATACTTTGCTCAGGACAATGTTCTTGGTTACCCTGACACTGGTGGTCAGGTCAGTAATGAAGATTTCTTCTTCTTTTAGTAAGCGCCTCGATAGTTTATTTAACTCGTATAATCTTGCAGGTCGTTTACATTCTTGATCAAGTTCGTGCTCTCGAAACAGAGATGCTCCAACGTATCAAACAACAGGGACTCAACATCGCTCCGAGAATCCTCATTGTAAGCTCAGCTTTCTTCTGCTCTGATGATTCTTCTTGTGTGAATGAGATGGTGTCCTAAACTCTTCTCTTATGTTTTCATAGATTACTCGCCTGCTTCCTGATGCAGCAGGAACCACATGTGGTCAGCGTCTCGAGAAAGTGTACGGATCTCTGTATTGTGATATCCTCCGTGTGCCTTTCAGAACAGACAAGGGTATTGTTCGCAAATGGATCTCAAGATTCGAGGTCTGGCCGTATCTAGAGACTTACACCGAGGTAAATCCTCTCTCTTCCTGCAAAACCTGCTTCTTGTTCACTCTTTCTTTTTACTCAAAACCTGCTTTTTCTCAGGATGTTGCAACTGAGATCTCCAAAGAGTTGCAGGGGAAACCTGACCTTATCATTGGAAATTACAGTGATGGTAACCTTGTTGCCTCCTTGTTGGCACACAAACTTGGTGTCACTCAGGTTTGCTCTTGTTTCCATTCATACCCATTGAGACCTCTTGTCTTCTTCCGAAACTAAGGATTTTTCGGTTCATTATTGTACAGTGCACGATTGCTCATGCTCTGGAGAAGACCAAGTACCCGGACTCTGATATCTACTGGAAGAAGCTCGACGAGAAGTACCACTTCTCTTGCCAGTTCACGGCTGATCTAATCGCCATGAACCACACAGATTTCATCATCACAAGTACTTTCCAAGAAATTGCTGGAAGGTAAACAGACAAGACTCAGTCACAAGAATGTTCTACAACTTCCATAGGTTTGAGTTCAAGTAACACTGTTCTTTTTTTTTTGGGTTGCAGCAAGGACACTGTTGGTCAGTACGAGAGCCACACAGCCTTCACACTTCCCGGGCTGTACCGTGTGGTTCACGGTATTGATGTGTTTGATCCCAAGTTCAACATTGTCTCTCCTGGTGCGGATATGAGCATCTATTTCGCTTACACAGAGGAGGAGCGTAGATTAACGTCATTCCATGAAGAGATCGAGGAGCTCCTCTACAGTGATGTTGAGAACGAAGAGCACCTGTAAGCTTTTGATATGACTCATGTTTGATCTTTTAATGTGTTTGGTTGTCATGAAAAAACCTAACCTTTCTGCTTTATATCTGAAAACAGATGTGTGCTCAAGGATAAGAAGAAGCCAATCCTGTTCACCATGGCTAGACTTGACCGTGTCAAGAACTTGACTGGCCTTGTCGAATGGTACGGGAAGAAGACTCGCCTGCGCGAACTGGTTAACTTGGTGGTTGTGGGTGGAGACAGGAGGAAAGAGTCGCAGGACAACGAAGAGAAGGCCGAGATGAAGAAAATGTATGACCTGATTGAGGAATACAAACTTGACGGGCAATTCCGATGGATCTCCTCGCAGATGAACAGAGTGAGAAACGGTGAGCTTTACCGTTACATATGTGACACCAAAGGTGCATTTGTGCAGCCTGCTCTGTATGAAGCCTTTGGGTTGACTGTTGTTGAGGCCATGACCTGTGGGTTACCGACTTTTGCCACTTGCAAAGGTGGTCCTGCTGAGATCATTGTCCACGGAAAATCTGGTTTCCACATTGATCCATACCATGGCGACCAGGCGGCTGAGGCTCTTGCTGATTTCTTCACCAAGTGTAAGCAAGACCCATCTCACTGGGACCAGATCTCCATGGGAGGGCTTCAGAGGATCCAGGAGAAGTAAGTATATACTACAACTCAGGTGTTGTAGATTCCCCTAAATAAATTCCTTTCAAGTTTGGAAAATTTCAACCATCTTCTGGTGGGTTTTGCAGATATACCTGGCAAATCTACTCACAGAGGCTCCTGACCCTGACTGGTGTCTACGGCTTCTGGAAGCATGTCTCAAACCTTGACCGTCTCGAGAGCCGCCGGTACCTTGAGATGTTCTACGCGCTAAAGTACCGCCCACTGGTATGCACTGTCTCATCTAGACCACATTTCACTTGAACCTTCTTAGTGTTACGATATGCAGGTGCGGTATATCTCACCGTCTCTTTATGTCTTGCAGGCTCAAGCTGTTCCTCTTGCTCGGGAAGAGTGAAAGAAGAGTATGAAGAAGAGGTTCTCGACATTTTTAGAATAAGTGATCATGTCAGAGCGCTTTTGAGTGTGTTTTCTTTTCCTTTCCTGATTTGTTTCAGCATTGCTTTTGAACTCTTGATGTTGAGAGAGCTTTCCTTCTAATTGCAATAAAAATTTGATTTTTCTATCTTCAACTTCTTTTACATCATATCCCAACCGCATCATAAACCCTGAAACTAAGCATAGTTCGCTTCATCACAACCTAGAGAACTAAGCATACTCCATCAAAAAGGTCTTGTTGTATAACCTGAGATTCTTACTTCATAGGTGGCTATCACAAAACCTGAGTTTCCTCGTCACTCCGGCCTGGCCAGAAAACTTCAGCGGCTTCCTTTGTTTCCGTTAACAGATATTTCCCATACTGCAAGCTGGACCTATATACACCAAAGAAAATGGTTGCTCCAAAAACCTAAAATAAAGTTGCAATCTGAAGTTATGGTACAATTGCTCAACAAATGTGGCATTTACCATCGTGCATTCCAACTCTAATTGTAGGAAACTATACCCATCTCAATGCAGCAACACCAACTCTTTTTTTTTCTCTACTCATTGCTGGTCCATTTGATATGAAAACTAATCTTCTTTTTCTATCATCTGAAGAACCTTTAGTTTTCTATCTCTGCCTTATTAGCACGCCACGATCGACATCGCAGCTTTGAGATACCCATAAGAAGATCATGTACAACTTTTATATATCGTTACGTATACACTGTTATAATAATTTTTAAACAAAAGACTATCTACTATACAAAGGGTCCACAGAAGGACACAAGGGGTCTTCTCCTACTTACAAGACTGTGGATCCCAAGCTTTTCTTATGTGTTGTTTTACTTTCACCTACTCTTGCTGCATCTTTTCTGCGCACAGTAACTCTGTTTTCACTCTGCAAATCACACAGAAGGCATGAGCAAAAAAATCCTGTCTCTTATCGTTTGCCTTCTTTCTGCATCTTGGTTCCTGGAGAATGTCTTGGGTAAAGAATGAGTGCCAGCGCCAAAGAGACCGCAAGACCAACCCCTCCGCTAAAAGGCTGTAAAGGGCGAGTCCCCGCGATCCAAACCGGGGAACTCACGTTGTACGTGAGGAATCCACCTGTGTGTAGTACAAAGCTTGCTGCTATCATTCCTGTACGCAAACCGATTGGAACAATCAAATTTCCTTGGGTTCTTTCACGGGCCCCTGCGAGCCCCAACGACAGAAGCCATAACGCTGGAATTGATCTCAGGGATCTGGAATTCAACAAGAAAGCAGACACACTTAGCATCCATACACGAGAATTGTTTGACTACAGTATAACAACACATAAACCCAACTCCTTAAAATAAAATACTGAAAAACGATAAATACCTCTGGAACAAGGCAAATACGAGTCCTGTAATGATAATGCTTTTATGGTAACCCAGATCTATCGCAATCTCATTAGGCATCCATGACCTGAAGAGCAACTCTTCCACAAGCACAACAAATGTCGCAGCTGTAAATCCCCTAACTATCAGCAGAAGCAGTTGCACGCATCCCTTAAGCCACTTCATGGCATCAAAAGGATGTGGAAGATATGGTGGCCGAGATAAAATAGCAGCTCCTAATATTGTATTTATGGACTGTATTAATATAACGACTATGATGCCCCCTGCCAAGGCCTTCAAAAACTCTTGAATCTGCGAGGAACAAATTTACTGTATTATTTCTACTATTTGTATAGCATGGATCTATGGAAGCGGAGAAAAGGATAACATGTACAGTTAAGGGAAAAGGAAAATCACAACTACACCATATCTTTTTGCGGAAAACACAACTACATATTCAATAAACCTTGTTTCATCCTGCGTTAGCTGTTTGAAAAATTCTGCCAAGATCTTAGTTGAAGAAAACTGGCATTTGTATTATTTCCTTCTTTCGTATTTATGTGGGAAACTATCTACGGTCAAGAAGCTTTCTCCAGCAATGCTTTCTCCAGCAATGCAAATATTCTAAGCTCGATATTACGTTTAAGAATTAAGACAATACCTGCTTTTTGGTTGATCCCTTGAAATCAAGCCCATATTGCCTGAATGGGTTTTCATACTTCCGTACTCTCTTTCCCCACAGCATAACAAGAATAAAAACAGCAACATAGAGGCCAACTACACTAGCTAGTTCCGCCATTCTAGAGGGAGTACTTGTGGACCAGCTCTGGAGAAGTGTTGGAAGCAATGGAATCACAACCGGTGACCATAAAACGAGCACCATTCCAACAAAGCCCACAACCCTAATAAACAGAAAAAGGGATGATACATACGAGAATCATTATGGCCAGCTAATATGAAGAAGAATCAGAGGACCCTACTTATAGTACTAAAATGATAAAGAGCATAGAATCTTTAACATGATTGTTTGTTCTCATTAGACAATTTAGCATATTAAGAATGAAGAATTTACTCACAACCAGATTGTGAAGAATCTAACAGATTTTTTTTTTATTGGTCAATAGAATCTAGCATATTAAGAATGATAAATTTACTTGCAAATGTGTAGTAATTATAAGAACGTTTGTTGTCCTCATTGTCTTCAAAGAAATGGTTAGCACACATATATAGTTTCACATTCATTTCATTTAAGAGCCCTTTATAACCACAAAACTTAGTTTAGTGAAAATTTTCTTAAAGGTAGTAAAAACCAACAATGATACAAATATATTCGCATCCAACATAAAAAGCATATGATATGAGAATTGGTCTGATTTTTTTAAGTTGAGAAAAGACGAATTCAAATCCAATCACATAAGTTGCGAGATAGTGGAAAGAATCAATAGAAATGCTTAGAGTGGAAAGCAGTTTACCTCTTCACTAAGGGCCACTCATCCATATGCAGAAATTGGATTAGCTTATCAGTTAGACTCATAGCCCCTCGAAGGCCACCCCAAAGCAGGGCTAGTTTCCCAACTAGCTTCAATATGCCACCCCTCTGACCCAAATCTGCCAACATTGTCACAATCCTGTTCACACGAAAAAAACCAAGTAACTCGGATCAGGAACAGACATTGAGAACTGACATAGAGGAATTGGTTTATCTACTTTTTAATACCTTTCTTGATCCACTTCACCACTTTCCTTTGTTGGAACTGCAGGACCGGCTATGGACATGGCTTTCTCAGCAAAACTTGCAACCATACTGCTCTGATCTTTATGTTTACTTTCTTTCTCTGATGGTTTTGACATGATGCCACCTTTTTGTGGATCCTGTGCAACATGCATTAAATATTAAGGGCAAACATGTTCGTTTATTCCTTTGTTTTATCATATATCTATCTAAACGCTAATGTTAAACAATACCTCGTGCTGAACCAGCATAGCTGATGCACCCAGAGCAGCTGTCACAGCACCAACCATAACAGGCTCATTGCTAATATTTTGCAGGCTAGATTCCACCATTTCTCCAATGCTCGAGTTCTTCTGTTGGCTTTTTTCGCTCATTTTGGTCGGCACAACACTCTTTGTTGCACCATTGTTCTCATACTTTTGTGCTCTACCCATGACAATATCTCTCTTAGCATCTCTCTTAGCACTGTCAGTTGTTGTAGATACATCGAAATATTTTCTCAGAGCAGCTAAAATAGAGCCAACAACAACACCAACAGGCAATACTTGTCTTAGAAAATGCGCCTCCTGAACAGCAGATGAAATTGCTCTAATAATAGCGTCCCCACGGAGTTTACCTACTTTTCCAGCAGGGATGCTGGAAGTTTTGCTTTTCCTTTTAAATGTCCAAGTAGGCTCTGTATATACAACAGCAAACGAAAGTGTATTTGCCACCCTTTTTATATCTCGACTGAGCTGAGACTCAAATTGTCTCATGCCAGCTGAATTCATCCTGCGCTGAACTTCTACATTCAAAGAGTCGGATACAATAACGTTAATGAGGTGCTCTAATTCCTCACATCCTTCATCTGATTGGTGAAGACCGTCATTTTGATCATTCGCTGCTTCATGCATTTCAGGGAGCTCCAGCTCATGTTCATGTTCTAATATCACATACGAAGGCTCAACGATGTTCTCTTCATTACTTACACTAGGTAAATGAACCTGAACATTTCTGTGCGTATCTCTGCTGGCTACTCCATTGTCAGCAACGTTACCCACATATTCTGGTTGTTGATCAAAGAGCTTCCATTTACCTTCCTCTGGATAATAGTCAAGCATCAAAGCAGTGGTTGTATCTAAGTCTAATTGATTTGCAATCTGCTCTTCTGAAAGTTCCTCCCCAAGGTACCCATCATAAGAAGTTCTCTCGACAGAATCTGTATTTCTTGCAGGCAGAATATTTGGTAGATGCTTACCAATCACAGATTCATCCCCGCCCAAATGCTTTTCATTCATCACCCCAATTGTCTTATCATCGTCAGAACCTGTTCCATTGTCATGCACACTGCATGCATCATGTGATTTTTCAGAGGGCTTTTGACATACCGCTTCTTTCTTGAAGGGAGTTTGCTTTTGAGATGGAGACCTTATCTTCTCATCCCTGTCATTGTTCTCATCTGTGTCATTTTGTTCATCACTTGCCTCATTTCTATCTTTATCTTCTTCATCCAGCTGCGTAATCATATTTTCGAGCACACCAAAAACACTGTTGACAGCTACCTGAGTTGAATCATCCATCCCCGTCAGTGCTTCAAATGCTTGAGAAACATTAAATTTGGCCTGATTTGGTTCCTGAATTGCTGGCTTAGTTTGGTCAGAAGCAGGTTGCATAATATTGGTTTCTTTCTTCTGATCATCAGTCTCTCCTTTCCCTACAGGCTGTGAAGCAGAAGATTGTCCATCATCTCCTTCGTTTCCAGTAGATGCCACCTTGTTTTGCTCGGTGGCAGACTGTTTTGCATTCTCATCATTTTTATTAGTTTCCTCCTTTCTTTGTTGCTGAGCTAATACAGCAACTTGGTCCACTTTGTCCTCATCAATAGTTATATCATCTGCACCGATTGGCTGCCCTTGGTTGTTACTATCAACCTTTGCATCTGAAGCCTTTTCAAAAGCATCAGCTGCACTGGACTTTTCATTGTCAATTGGTGCTCTTTTCTCATCGTTTTTATTAGTTTCCTCGGGTCTTTGATGCTTGGCTATTACAGAACCTTCGTCCACTTTGTCATTATCACTAGTTACATCCTCTGTGCCAATTGGCTGCCCCTGGTTGGTACCATCAACCTTTGCTTCAGAAGCCTTCTCAGAACCATAAGCTGCACCAGTCTTTTCATTAGTAGTTGACTCCTTATTCCCAAGACTAACTGGCTCATCATCACCCTTCTTAGTCAGGACAGAACTATCATCTTGATCACTGTCGACGGGTTGGGGCGTTCCAGAATTACCATCTTTCTCTTTCTGGGAAGCCTCAGAAGGGGAATGCTCAAGTTCTGTTCCACCAGCAGAATTGTCTGAGCTACCAATAGTGTTTTCCGAGCCAGTCACCAAACCATCGCTCTTATTTATCGGATCTGTAGAACTAGAATCCTTTTGACCTATGGTACTTGATTGTTCTTTCGTTGCTTCTTCCGCCTTTTTCAATCCTTTTGATAGGTTAAGTTTTTCAAAATTTAACTTACTGCCACTTGACTGCAAGATCCCAGTTACAGCTGTTGTAAGCTTCCCACGAACATCTTCTGGCACGGCATCTTGTAAAGCTTTTACAATTGTTTCTCCTCGACCAACAGCATCCATAACCTAGACATTTACTGAATAATTGTCAAGCAATTGTTAATGCAGCAACAGCACTAAAACTTATAAGAATTCTTTTTACTTTTGGCATGTTGGCTATTACCTTTTTCTTCTCATCAGCTTTCAGGGTGCCAGGCATGGTTACATCAAGCATGTTCACAACCACTTCTGCAGTCTGCAACATCTGGCTTCTCTCACTTTCTTCTACATTGGACTTATTATCTTCAACTACTTCAACTTCAACAGGACCACCTGTTGAAACTCCACCGTTTTCTGGTTCATCAGATGCAGTCTCGATTTTGACATTCTTCTCTAACTCTGTTCCAGAGGGCAAACCAGAATTTGGGGTGATGTCCCTTTCTTCAAGTGTTTCCCTGGAAGGATCTACATAGTGACCATTCACTGTCTTTCCTCGAGCTACCTGCAGGAGCTTCTTGGCACTGATATCTTTTTCCGGTGCCCTGGCTTCTGAAAGAACCAAGCCTTTTGCAGGATTAACAATAACATCCACGTCTTTCAAAAGTGGATGACGACCTTTAAGAAGCCCAAGCTCTACAGCAGTCAACCACTGCATGGCCAATATAGGAAAATCAATCTCTCTGGACTAGAAGTGAATGTAACAGAACTGTCAACTAAGAAGTAAAGAATATAAAACTTTTTCAATGGAAGACAGAAGGACTAGCATATTATTTGCATTTTAACCAGAAAATTATTCAAAATTTTACACTCACATCGATCAATGATCAGTTACTAACAACATGATAGTAATAGTGAGCCTCTTGGAGTATCATGCATGTCTTTTATCTATCCACAAATCAAAATGATACAAGATGGTGTCTCTATAGGACAAGCAATACGTAATAACCTTGATTCTTAAATTACATGACGAATCCTAATTCCTACCAAGATGTATTGAGTAATGGTCACCGGTGCCAGCAGATCATTTTTTCAAGAATAATTTCACCATAAAATAAAGATATTAGATTTGTGTATGCGTGCCTATGCATGCATGTGAGACAGAAAGATAGGGGGAGAATTTGCCTCAATCGCAAGGTCCTGGCACCAAGACACGGCCACTGTATGTCCACTGATCAGACTTGGAGAAGACGAGCACAAAAGCAGGCTTGTGAATGGGTTTTCAGCTATCGAACCACGTGGTGTTGTATAAAGCGGCACTACATGGTCATTCTGACAAAAACAAGCGATTCGTGAGTCAAAATATATAAAAACACTGTTCACACAAGGGATTCAAGAGACCAAATTTAAAATATCATGAATTTTACGTGCAAAATGAAAACCTACTTTCAAGTGTGACCTACGATTAAAAGGAGACAAAAGAGTGTATTGTTCCCTTTCAAGGAACCTTTTAACCATGTTTATCTGAAAGATCAAGATCCAATTTTGTACCAATGCCAAAATCACCCTAAAATAATTTCAGCACACCATCTATTAAATCACTCAACATTGCCCTCAGTTTAAATCATAATCCATGCAAGGTAAGAATCTCCCTTGGGTCATACAATATCCAATAATTCTGTAACTGAATCTCTCAGTCTGTCCTAAAGGAAAGTAGCCTCCTGTAATGGATTCCTTAATTAATTAAATATACCTCTAAATATGAAATCCTAACTACAATGAGACCAGAAAACATAACACTTCTGAGTTAGAGGTATCAGGTAATAAAGAGAGCAGTAACCTTAAACACAACTCGACAGCCAGAATATTAACCTGTATAAAGAGGACAGGAACTTTTACTTGCCCAATCACATCTCTGGTGGCACAACTGGAATAGAAATCTTCTATACTCTCGAAACCATTTGTCACCATGGATAAGGCTTTGTCAAAGTCACGGACTGATTTTGAAGACAAAGCTTTTCCAACATCAAAGGCTTTTGCTCTGCCTTGAAAAAGCTCCTAGAAGATTATCCATTTGCATAGCCCAGTCAATAGAGAGAAGAGCTCACTCAATAAATCATTATGATGCGTTTTACAAGCAATACCCAACCTTGTTTGCCTGCAGTATCTCTACTAATCCCCCTGTGAGCTGTTGATCCAAACTAGTACAATAAGGAGATGTTCGAGTCATCTCTTCAAGGTCAAAGGGATTATCTATGCATACAGCAGCAGTAAGAGGTGTTCTTTCCCCGGCTTCTGCCAGGTACTTGGTTAACATATTTGCACCGTATCCCCGGCCAACGCCCATAAGTGTCGTCCATGGCCTTGTCTTGGTTAAGAACCGGATAACTGTGGATATATCATCACTGTCAGCAGCTGTGAATAACCTAGAGAATCAAGACAATTACAATAAAATAGATTCAATCAAAGGTATCCTTGGACTCATAGTTGAAAGAGAGTGTGTAGCTCACCGAGCTGTAGTGAGAGGCGAACCAGCACATCCTCTAGGGTTCATCACTAGAGGAAACACGCCCCGCCTGAGAGCCTCGCTTACAAATGAGCGAACACCTTCGTTCATGCTCCCTTCTGGTGTTCCCGGGATGATAATCACCGTGGTGTCAAGCCCACGCTCCTCCTTAAGATCTAAATTCGCTGGCCAATCAAGCGAAACAACGCCTCCGTCCTCCGTACTGATGCAGACCCTCTGATACTCCAACGGCTTCTCATCCGTAGCAGTTCGGGTCGAGAGAATCTTGCCGCTGTCCAGAGTAACGAAGTGCCTCTCCTCCTTCACGAGCCTATCGCTAACGCTCTCTAGGAGGTCGCCAAGATCAAAAGAGAGCAAAGAGCAACGGAGGAGAACAAATCTGTTGAAGGGCGTGGGACTGGTGAAGAGAACCCATTCCCCAACAACTTGGTCATCGCTCGTTCTCCTCTCGCTAATCCCCAAAGATCTTCCGAAGAACCTGGAAGACAGAAAAACAGCCAAGCCGGAAGCGAAGCCGGCGACAGATGGAGCAAAGGAATCGAGAGGAGGAACGCTGCCATCGAAAGGCGGAGGAAAAAATGAGGAATTCACAAGGATCAAGCTCCGCTTAAAACGAGCACGCTTCCTGTGAAACACACCGAATCCGTAAGAGCTCCGGCGGAGCATGAATGGAGATGCGGCGGGTATGGTGGTCAGGGGCTGCCGCGCCGGTGGGAATTGAAGAAAATTGGAAGACGAATTCATGTTAGTACAGAGAGAGATTCAGATAGATTTTGCAGAAATTTTGAACCAGAGAGTTTCTGGGATG